TAATCTCATTGTAATAAAGTTATGACTGCCATAATAAAATTATCTTTTAAAATAGTTTCGGTGAAATTGTTTTATTATAATAATATGTATTAACAAATTAGAAAACTTTTCCACTATTCAAAAAATTTATCTTTATGTCAATCTCAAATATAATTTACTCAGTTGTCCTAAAATTTGACGGAGCGTTGAAATCTTCTTGTATATGGATACCTAACAGAATGCTTAGTTCGAGCACACGATGATTATATTACACGAAAGCTATATACAAGTATATATTGTTGCGCGCCTAAGTTGACGTCATGTACCCGGCACTAACGCCATCTAGTGTCGGGGACGAGAGCGAGGGGAGCTTTCCAGAAAATGAAATCACTAATCTTTCAAACGACAGCGCCATCTAGTATCGAAACGAAGAACTAAGCTTCTAGAAGCCGACACTCGAACTTTCGGCGCCTAGTCGATTGCGCGCGTATTTACTTGAATATTCTGGATGTTTCTTTAAAGGCTAAAAAAATTTATTTAAAGGCGCTGCAAGATGCAATCGGGGAAGTATTGAATTTGGCGAGACAAGCGAAGCTTCGGAGCGGAATAAAGTGACTGAGTGTGATTAATTATTAGTGTTCTAAGTTTTAATTAGTGTAAAGTGAATTAAAGAGTTAATTTTGGTAATTCTATCGGCAATTTTTATTGTGACGAACCTCAAGCTCGTAACAATATCTTACTGTATGTTACTAGTATGACACTAGTATATTGATGCCTGTAATCGTAGGTACTTAATATGGAAAATTTTGGTACGTTTTTTTTAAGAATATAAATTTTATTTATTTATTTATATAAGTAGTATAACCAATTATTACAATTTTACTTAGTAAGCATGCCGTCACAGGCCCAATATTATAATTAATAACTAAATTCAATATAAAGGGGCATCAAAAATAGTCTTAAAATATATATATTAAGCAATAAAATTAAATTAATAAGCATAAAGTTAATATAAATACATTTCAGACATTACACCAATAACATAGTAAATTAAAGGCAAAATATTGTCTTTCATAATAAATAAATTTATTTAAAAACTTGTAAAAATATTTAAAACATGATAAAAAATAGAAATACAAGTCGAAAATATTATAAAAATAAAGATAAATAACATTTATAAGATAATTAGAGAATTTGTTAAAAATTATCTAAGTCATGGAAGGAGTTCATGTATAAAAGAAAATTTTTCTAATTTATGGAAGGTGTTCATGTATAGATGTCTTTTATGGAGGAGCTGCCTGAGATACATACCTGCAGTTGTACATATATATGGGGTGGTCGGGAGCCCGACTGCTTGAAGTACTGTAGCACAATGACTAGTCCTATATTAGGGACTTATGATAATAAACTCAATGATACAAAAGCAATACTATAGAAGGTCTCTATGATGAATTCGCATTACAATTGTAGGGTCGTTGGTTCAAGTCCTATATATGAATGGCTTATGAAAGTAAGCTCTATGATACAAAATCAATACTATAGATGGTCTCTATGATGAATTTGCATTACAATCGTAGGGTCGTGGGTTCAAGTCTTATATATTAATGACTTATGAAAGTAAGGTCTATGATACAAAAGCAATACTATAGAAGGTCTCTATGATGAATTAGCATTACAATAGTAGAATCATGGGTTGAAGTCCTACATATTAATGACTTATGAAAGTAAGGTCTATGATACAAAAGCATTATTATAGAAGGTCTTGCGTGCATAAGCATTATATGGGGTGGTCGGGTGACCGACTGCTATTAGTACTGTAGCAAAATGACTAGTCCTTATTAGGGACTTGAAAAGGAATATTATGATGGCGTGTATGCTGCTTCACAAGCAATTGGTCCGAGGTAAACTTGGACTCGCTAACCGATGTGTCCTAGACATATCATCTTAGTGCTGGTGGTAAGCGGGTTTGTTGTAGCCATACGGCTTTCCCGTGCACACCGCACACCCATACCGTTTGTGGGCGGCGTCGTAGCGCATAGCGATGCGTCATCTATCTTTCGGATTGGGATGAGTGTGTTTGGCAGCACTTTTAAGTGTAACAGGCATACTCAACTTCATGTCTTAGTGTAGTAGCGTGCTACTATGATACGTTGGTGATATTTTTTAGTTAACAACAATACAAACTTTGTTACCAAAGTCGATAGGGTTCATGTGGGTGTGTTGTGAGGGGGCGCCATCCGTATGATAGTTGCATTGATGCTTAATGCTACTTGCGGTATTGCGTCTTGTGATGGATCTGCGGGTGTGCTGCGCCTGATTCGACGCAATATTGTGGTTCTGGTCGATGGAGGTATACAATTAACAACATCTTAGTGCCGGTGGTAAGCGGGTTTGTTGTAACAATACGGCTTTCCCGTGGACATCGCACACCCATACCGTTTGTGGGCGACGTCATAGCGCATAGCGATGCGTCTATAGCATGCGATTGCTCATTCGACGCCCTCTTATGGTTCTGGTCGATGAAGGTATGCGGGTGGTGATGTCTGCTGGGATGTATGGAGGACCTTGAGATGTGTAAGCCCGACGATAGTCGTATTGACGCTTGTTGCGTTTTGCAGCATTGCGTCTCTGCGATGGTTGTTTGGTGGGACGTTATTCTCAATGGCGCTCTCTGCGTCTTGCTTTGACTCACACCTAAGTAGCTTTGCCCAAGTCAGGTCTCTTCATTACAGGGCTACAGACTGTCTGACCTCCATGATGTTTTATATAACAACATAATAATATATCTCTGTAATTTTCCCACCTTTGAATGATTGGCAACTTGTTGGTGGGTGAGACAAACATGATCGAAAATTTATTTATTTATTTATTTATTTTCCACTATACAATTATCTTTACAGGTTTATCACCTAATGCGATAATGTAGACAACTATTTTACCAACTCCAACTACATAGTTAAAATGCATTTACTCAACGTCAGTGACGCAAACCCTTTCTGATGGCGAATTATTACTCTTATCTTATAACTGCCTTTTGGCTATATCTGCCGTTTTATTGATTGGTGGAGCATATGTGTCGACCTCATGCGGGTGGTAGCTGGCGGGAGGATCTGAGGAGACTCTCAAGGCTGCGGCCGAAAGCCGCACAACGTGGGACTCCATTCCCTTGAGGTGAGCGGTAGACTCATGACACGCTCTGCGGCTAGTAGCCGTGCTGATCATGCAATCAGTGGTGATGCCATACACTTACATCACGTCTGCAGGAGCGGCGGTCTGACAGGTGGTGGCGCTCACGGAGGGTTTACGGCCAGTGTGCCTATTTGCCTAAACCGTGTGACGTACATTCACTGTGGCTGGATTCGTTCGTATTCTGTATGGCGTTTACACGCATTGACATGCTCGACTTCGGTCGATGTTTGTGCTTACGCACTAATAAGGGGCCAAGCCTCTTTTACTGGTTCGCCAGTTATTTTGCTGTGGACTACGGTCCAGTTCCCGAATTAACGTTCCCTTCGGGGGAGTGCCTCAATATTGTTGGCACTCACCGCGCACGGCGTGTGCCTCCCCTACATTTTTTTAAATAAATGTAGGAGAGTGAAGCCCTTGTATCGGGTATTTTGTATAAATATATTGTGAGCCTTTTCCAAGCGGAAAGGGATAATTAATAATGCAAACTTGATTTAAGTGGAATAGGGACGTTTTTTGTTCTTAACCTTTCTCGAGCCCTGTCTTCGTGAACGGGGTTCACTTAGCTTATAAAGCACTACCAACAGCTTTCAATTGCTCTAGTGAATATTCATTCTTCCAAAAGACACCTAAAAGAACTAAGTTACTAAACAAACACAACGTAAATAAGGGTCCTAATTAAGACGATCACGCCAAAATATTACAAACGGCCTATTATTAAACCTTTTGAAAGATCAAAACATATCTTATATATCTTGGTCACATATATATAATATTATTGAAAAGGGGAAAATTTAAGAGAAGAACCGATAACCGATGGGGAAGAAAGGTTCTCGAGTGGCAGCCTCCTACTGGTAGGCGAAGGGTAGGACTACACCCCACTAGATGGAGTGACGACCTGGTAAAACATGTAGGAAGTCGGTGGATGCAGGTAGCTCAGGACCGTGCTTTGTGGCATTCCTTGGGGGACGCCTATGTTCAGCGGTGTACTTGTGAAGGGCTGTAATGATGATGAACTACTTATTGATGACACATCAGTAAAATTTTATACTGGGCTTGAAACATACAAAAAATTTAAATTTGTTTTTGACACTTTATGCCCTATGGCCTACAATCTGTGTTATAAATCAGGAAATGTGATATCTCTAAGTGTGGAAGACCAGTTTCTAATAACATTAATGAAATTGAGACGTAACTATTGTAATTTTGAATTATCAAAAAAATTTGGTGTCAGTCGAACTGTAGTATCTACTATATTTGTAACCTGGGTGAATTTTATGTATGATACTTGGTCATTAATTGAATTATGGCCTACCCAAGAGTTGATCCAATGCTATACCCCAGAAAGCTTTGAGAATTTTGAAAAAACAAGAATTATCATAGATTCGACAGAAGTGCCAATATGTAAGCCAACAAACCCTCTATCACAACAGGCCACATTTAGCAACTATAAAAACAAAAATACAATCAAATTTCTGATTGGTGCTACTCCAGGTGGCCTAATTTCGTATTGTTAACCCTCTATCACAACAGGCCACATTTAGCAACTATAAAAACAAAAATACAATCTAATTTCTGATTGGTGCTACTCCAGGTGGCCTAATTTCGTATTGTTCAGATGGTTATGGTGGGGCAACAAGTGATCGGCATTAACCGAAAGATCGTCATTAATTAAGCTTTGTCAGGCAGGAGATATAATTATGGCTGATAAAGGGTTTAATGTTCAAGACATTTTGCCTCAAAAATTTTGCAATTAAAATACCCACATTTTTAAAGGGGGTGTCACAACTTTCCACACATGATTTAAAAATAGACAGGGAGTTGTCCAAGAAAAGAGTGCATATTGAAAGACTCATTGGACTTACAAAAACATACACCATTCTTAAATCTGAAATTAATAGTTATTGTGTGCCACTGACTTCCAAAATATTTTTTTGTGTGTAATTTTTTGTAATTTTAGAGAAAAAATTGTTTTTAAATTCAAATAAATACACTTGTGAAAGATAATCAAGGTTTTATTATTTCTGCATAGTACTTATATAAATATTTATTTAAAACAGCTTCTTCAAAGTAGTTTTTATAGAAGAGGTCCAATTTTTTAACCATTTCTGCTATAAAACATTCATCCTTTGTGATATACACAACCTGGAGATCTTTATATATATAGATGATAAGATTACAGAATTATCGGTTAGTACAAAATATTTGGCCTTGTATCTGATAGTAATAGGGATGTGTTTTTTTTTATTTGCAGTTCCCCATTTTCTAGACACAGATAAGGTACATTAACCGGATTTATTTAGCCATACCGAGTGGAGTAAGGGCATTTTAATTCAACAATTGTGTTATTTCCAAGTAATCCGTCAGGAGAAGCACCTAAATATGGTTTCTCTTTATTAATGAATAAGCCACGTTCTTTAACATCAAGTGCATATTTATCACAATATTGTTTTAGGGCTACTTTTTCACTAATTTTGCCATGATTTGTAGCTCTGGTTGACACACTCCGTCTAACATAATGTATGTTCTTTGCAAAGCTGGGCATGTTTTGGACACTCAAATGGCAAATTGTATGAAAATTACTTGCTGTGAGACGATTTTTTTTGTGTTGATACCAATTTTCATTTTGACTTTGCATTCTAGTGTCTCTTTCGATATTTTCAATATCTTCTAAGGTAACAATTTTTATATATAAGGATTTCAAAATTTTATCTTTTAAAGAAACACTGTAACTGCCAAGGTCCCACTCGATTGCATAAGGATTTGCAGATTTATATAGTTGCCTTAAAGGCATAGTACTGCTGTAAATTTAGGACAAGATTCAGTATTCTTTCAATTTATTTTTCTTTGTTGATAATACCCCTATATTGATGAAAATTTAAATTCCCTTCAGTTCTTTTATAAGGTAAATTCTGTGCTTTTAGAGGTGAGGAAAAGTATTTTTTCTTGGGCTGGTGAAAGCTCTGTAGCTTTTGAGTGGACTCTTCCCCTAATACTACAGTTTTATGTTCAATCATATCAACTGCGCCAAACAATACAGTAGCAACATGCTTGCACTGTGAATTAACTCCAGATCCAGCTGTACATTCACAATTAGTCTCTTCTAATATACCATTTTTGTATAATTTAATATTTACCTCATATTGAGTTTTTCTCATTGCTGCTTTACAAAAACCTTTTACATGTAAAATCATTTATTGAGCAGCCCTTAATATAAGAAGGTATCTATTTTCATATAAACTTTTATATGAAAATAGGATTATATATTATATTATTATAAGATATACTGGATTATAAGGATTTACTGCATCTGAAAGAAATGAAATTTATGTTTGAATCACATTAATATCACATTGTGTGTTTGTTACTTCTTTACGCTTAGATACGTAAATTGATTATATAGAGTAATACAGTATACTTTTTTCCTGACAATGAAAAAAAGTCTTTAATGAGCACAAAGTGTTTATTAAATAGATAAATATACTCACTCTCCAAAATACTCCTGTATTTGATGTTTATTTAATGGTGGTAATGGGGTATTGCTGTTTATATCTTAATAAAAATCGTCTTTTGGTATGACCATAACTTCGCCTTGTACTGGTTCTGGCAAATACGATTTATCAGTGAAGTTAAAATTTCTATAATACGCCTCTAACCTAAAAATGAGAAGACAGCTTATCATTTGTTTTTCACAAACAATAGACGAAGTGGATATAATTTCACAGAAATATGGTCAAGAGTTTAATGCTAATCAGTAAAAACACTCACCAAAAAACTCTATAAAACACTGCAGTAATTTTTGACTTTTATTTACTAACCTCTCTACAAGGTCTGCCTTTCTTCCACTACAATACGCACCTCTTTTCTTTAATTCTTCTTTGAGCTGATTTAATTTCCACGTAGAATACATCGTACAGGTAAAAAGTTAATACTGATTAATAAAATGGATTAAAAAAGCCCATACGAAAACATTTCTCATGAATAATGATGGCGTTGAATCAACGAACGGTTTAAATAGACGGTCTACATTCAATCGACGCTTCGACGGTCTACAGTTTATTCGATAACTAGTCGAATTCATAGACGGCTAAACTGAGAGTCCTCAGTTTTCTTATCTATTGACAACGCAACGACGACGCCGTAAACATACCCGGTTAATATAAGTGCATGCGTTCGTTGAATTGGTATAATTGAACAAACCAATTTAAACCTTAAGTATATGACGTAGGAGTTAATATTTCTTTTTAATAGAATTGTTTGAGTGAAAAGGCAAGAGCATTCTGATATTGCATGAAAGGGTATGTCGACGGTCTGGTGGACTATTATTTACATAAAATTACCGCGCCTAAACGTTGCCGGTGTTTGGAAATTTGAAATTAGTGTGTCACTCGCGTCGCAAGGTCAAAGCTAAAGAAATTCTTCCAAGAAAGGACCAGATGGGACATTTGGCGTGCCACCTTGAATGGTGGAGAAAACATCAATACGTCTACCCAAATTTAAAATAAATATTTGTAATCCATTGTAACATTGTAGCAACATCTGTTCTTTGCGAACGGATGTTTTCTAAAGCAGGTCTCATAATTAATAAAAGGCGAACGAGACTAACGACAAGCAAAGTTGAGCAAATTATGTCCTAAACGTAAATACACCTGAGGAGAGATTTAAAGGGTTTTAAATTCATTTATAAAATAATTTACATGATTCTTCTGTACATACATTAATAAAAAACGAAAACAAAAAAAAAACAAATAAAAATATTCATTAAAACACGTATCCTTAAAATATGTAAATAAAAAATGTAAATAATTAAATATATGTACATAAAATCAATTGATCTTATCTTATCGTATCTCTGATATTCAGCCTGTCCTAAGCCTGGAAAAGTACGAAGGGAAGTTTTAATCGATTGATTGTACAATTCGATAGTAGGTATTTATACACCAGTCAGAGTGCTTTGTGCTCAAATCAAATTTCTTTGAATTTTAACTTACTTTGCAGTTCATTTAACTGTCGAATAGTGGGCAAAACTAGTTAAGACACAGTCGTTGTTGCGTTGCGCCCGTAGACACCGCGCTTTAGCCGATTGAACGTCTGCCGTTATCGCGTTAGCTAGTTGACGAATTCAACTAGTTGATCACCTAGTCGATTGACGGCAATAGACGGTCTAGATTCGTTGACGAAAATTACGTCGACGACGCACCTCTACTCATGAACAGCTTCGAACCACAGAATGTAAATAGATCATACGCGTGGCGCCCTCTGATTACAAAATCTTCCCCATTAGACAACAAGAGCGAAAGAATTTAAAAGAGGCAAATCACATTAGAAACACAAAATTTGTTGATGCATAAGCATGATATGGGGTGGTCGGGTGACCGACTGCTCTTAGTACTGTAGCAAAATGACTAGTCCTTATTAGGGACTTGAAAAGGAATATTATGGTGGCGTGTATACTGCTTCACGAGCAATTGGTCCGAGGTAAACTTGGACTTGCTAACCGATGTGTCCTAGACATATCATCTTAGTACTGGTGGCAAGCGGATTTGTTGTAGCCATACGGTTTTCCCGTGGACACCGCACATCCATACCGTTTGTGGGCGGCGTCGTAGCGCATAGCGATGCGTCATCTATCTTTTGGATTGGGATGAGTGTGTTTGGCAGCACTTTTAAGTGTAACAGGCATACTCAACTTCATGTCTTAGTGCATTAGCGCTATGATTATTAAGTTTAATAAAAAACACACACACGATAAATTCAATAGCGCTCATCTCAGACTGGTCGGCAAAAAGACACCCATCTTTGTTGCTGAGCATCTATCTGTAACTAACAAAGCACAACATGCAGCTGCAAGAAGAACAGCCAAGGAGAAAGGTTTTAAATTTGTATGGGTCAGAGGGGGAAAAATCTACTTGAGAAAAAGGGGTGTATTGATCGCAGTGTCAAAAAAGATTCAAGCCAAGGAAGTCACTTGTTGGAACAGCTCATGCGAGGATTTGTGGGTAATGTTAAATATACCAATAGAGTCTTCGGGTCGAGTCAGAGGAACGCCACGAAACTGCGACGCTCCGCACTTAAAATTCGGGAAAGTGTGGAAAAAGTGATCGAATAACAGTGTTTTTGGTCTTAAAGGTTGCATCTAAACGAGACCTATCTTTTAGTGTTTTTAAAAATAGCCGAACGATATTTTTTCAAACTTTTTCATGTGAAAAACCATTTTTCCTTACATGACTTAACCTAAAAAACGGTAAATCGCGTGCGGTGCACGATTTTTCGCTGGTACACATAGTTTTTTTTGGTGTCGTTTTGTGCATCTTGTGATCCTCCAACTTCCCACCAAATATTGGAATTTCTGGAGTACGCATCTCCAAGTGTTGGTTGTTTTTACTAAAACCACGTGGTGGGCCATCTTCCAGTGGGATCCAGACGTCTCCGGAAAATTTTGAAGACGCCGCTTCAAAGAGGGAGACCTGTGCTACAAAACACCGTATATAGCCGGAAATCATTATCTTGGACTTTACCAGCCTATTTGCAGTTCTTTCCCAAGTATTTACTGTAAATTTAAGCAATTATTGCAATAAAATTAAGAGTGATAACCTATTTTAGTGACTATCAGGTGCATCAACTCTTATAGAATAACATTGCAAAATTTCAGATATTTTTTGAACAAGTACTTTTCTTTTACATAACTTCAATTTCTTTTAATTTTTTATATTCTTATTAATTTTTGAGTGTATATTATCTCTGTACATTAAAAATACATTTTTTAAACCAAAGTATATATTAATAATAGACATTTTCATTTTTTTAAATAATTTATTATTTTCGTGTTACCATCTTTTTACATTGTATTATGTGTGTTGAGTGAAAATCGCGCCGTCACAGGGCAAATCCCTCCCCCTCCCAGCTTCGGCCGAGGAGGTTAAAGACATAGACAGTTTTTATATGGTGATAAGCAAACTTGCCTCCTGCATCACTACCGCGGTAAACGAAGGGAAGAGAGTGACCGCGGCTAATACGCGACTTATTAGCCAAGCTGCTGAAGAAATTAGAACTGCCACATGATCTCTCCTTTCCATCAAGTCTGTCGCCTCCTCTAGCACACCAACTTCAAACAGCGTGTTAAAAGGATGAGATCCTCGCATGTGTGAGGGAGGAGATTGCCAGTGTTAAAAAACTTGTCTCAGCCAACAAGCCCTCTTACCCACAAGCAGCAGCAGCGACTCACGGGGCTCCTGCACCTGCTGGGCCAACCGCCCTCTGCAGCTCCGCACCAGCGACTAAACCGGCGATCATAGTTAGCCCGACCGTCGAGGTTAATACACGCCAGGAGGCTGTGGAATTATTTAAAAAAAAAACATTAATTACCGCATGCCAATTACGCACCGGCTCGTATTCAGCCTGTGTCCAACAACAAGCTGCGTGTCGAGTTCGACACGGAGACTCAACGCAATGACACCCTAACGAGGCTCGAGGGAAAAACTGAAATTATGCTGAACCCGTACGGAAACTTAGACCCATGGTCATATTAAAGGGCATATCAAAAGATGTTCCAGCAGGCGAACTTACAAAAATTATTAGACAGCAAAATGAGGAAATTAACGAAATTATCAGTGATGATGGTGAGGGCTTCAAACTAAGATTTAAACGAGACAATAAGAACAATAACCTGTATAACGTGGTTCTTCTAGTTGATCCTAAGGTGTACAGCAAAATGTTAACAATGGGTCGTATCAGCATCGACTCTCCAACTGAAGAAGAAACTCCACTTTCCTGTACAAATCTAATAAAGCTTGTTGGCCTATCTTCTTTAAGGACAAACTGCACACACACATGACACTCACAAACATACTCGAACATGACATTTCTACCCTGAACGTTGATGATCTGGAACATATCATCAACGAACTAACCAATGTGATCTACTCTGCATGTCGAGCCAGAATGCATGTTAAAAACCGGGGAACAAAGCCTAAGGCTCCTTGGTGGACGGAGGAGTTGGAGATCCTCAAGCGAGAGGTGGTGGATTTACACCATCAGCTCCACGCTGCCAAGCGCCAGGGTATGCCTCTGGAACATATTTTAGAAACGAGGAAACAAAAAAGGAACTATATGCCAACAAGAGGCATTTTCGTGAGTTTTGCGAATTGCAAACTAATGAAAATATCTGGTCACTCACGAACAGACTCCTCAAAAATGCCACCTCTAGCTGCCCACCAGTCACCCTCAATAGGGGCTCCACCTACACCACAGACAGCCAGGAGACTGCCAAAGCACTCCTTGACCACTTCTACCCTGATGACTCACCAGACACCTTAACGCGACATCACGAGCTCAGATCAGAAATGACCGACCTTCCTCAGTCCCACGATGACCCTCCCTTCACCCAGGAGGAGGTGTTAGAGTGCTTAAAACAAACGAGCCCCAAGAAGGCTCCTGGACTTGACCCTACCCTAGACTTCTGACAGATATACTGAACCGTTGTCTTACACTCCAACACTTCCCTGACCAGTGGAAAACAGCATACGTAAAAATTATCATTAACACAGCTGTTAAAATAATTAAATTAGCCAAATCAGAAAAACACCTCAGCATCGCGATATCTCTAGATATTAAAGCAGCCTTCGACAACGCTTGGTGGCCTGCACTCTTCCACCGGTTGCGGCATATTCAATGCCCTAATAACATCTTTGGACTCATCCAGGATTATGTCCGCGATTGGGAGGTCATCCTTGACCATGCGGGGAGGTGAGTCACCAAGACGATGTCTAAGGACTGCATACAAGGTTCCACGTGTAGACGAGCTGCTCGATGCGAGGCTTCCACTGGGCTGCCACATACAGGCTTTTGCGGATGATGTCTTGCTGGTTGTCACGGCCGCGAGTGTCGGCGAGCTGGAGAGCGCTGCCAACTTAGCTCTCCACCATATAGTCAAGTGGGGAAGGAGCGTCAAGCTGGCCTTCGGTCTCACTAAGACTAAACTCATTGCCTTCACTCCCAAGGCTAAAGTAGCCAGCATTAACATAGACGGGCACCGTCTTTCCTTTGTGCCAGAGGTTAAACTGTTGGGAGTCATCTTAGACGAAAAACTAAACTTTGGGAAACACGTGAAACATGTTATCAACAAGGCCGTGCGAATCTTCAACAAGCATCCTGAGAACATCAGTACCATTTACCACCAAGTGATCATGCCAACTATCACCTACCCTGCAGGAATTTGGCGACACGTTGCCCAGAAAAGGTGCATCAGAAGGGCATTCGGGAGCATGCAGCGCGGATTTGCCATTAAGGCTATTAGGGGATTCCGTACGTATCTTCATCCGCGGCCCTCGCGTTAGCCCAGTTTATGCCTCTGGACCTGAAAGTGCGGGAAGTTTGCGCTGTGGAAAGAGCTCGGCTTCTGGGTACCTCTGACTACATCCCCAGCGACATCCCTCTAGAAAAACCAACTCCCGTCTCTGAACTCCTGCATCCTGCCCAATGTATTTCCTATATATTTACAAACTTCACATCTACGGGATCTGCATCAGAACAGACGACACATTTTATATTCACTGACGGTAGTAAGCAGGAGGACGGTGCAGTGGGAACAGCTTTCGTGGGCTATCTCCCTACTAATCTTAATCAAGTGGCTTACATAAAGAAGTTTAAATTGCACAACACGTGTACAGTATTCCAAGCGGAGCTATTTGCCATTCTGCAGGCATGCAGGTGGATGAAAGAACACAAATATACACACACAGTCATCTAAACAGATTCACTCTCATCTATACACGCTGTACAAAACAGAAGCAACACACAGCCTATCACTACACAAATACACAAAACTATACACGAGTACCGAGAAACAGGCATCATAGAATTGGGATGGGTCAGGAGTCATTCTGGCATAGCTGGCAATGAGTTGCGCAAACAACCTGACTATTTGGCCTTTCCCATTTCATACCTCAAACACACAATCAGAACTCAAAATCGCGCGACCTGGCAAGCTAGGTATTATAGCGCAAAGCAGAGCCACCATACCAAACGACTGCTTCCAACACTGGAGGATACCGAGAAGTTACGCACTATCACCAAACCCAGTTTTTACCTCACCCAGGTGCTCACCAACCATGGTTTTCACAAAGCTTATCTTTATCGCTGCAAAATAATTGACAATAATTATTGTCCTTGTGATAACGTCACCCCACAAACTGAAACATCTCATTGAGCATTGCCCAGCATTTTCATTGCAACGATTAAATCATGTCATACTTTGTGAAAATTTAAGAACTCCTCCATTTAACTTAACCGCATTAATGAAGAAGGAATCCCTTTTGGAATCTTTCATTCAATTTGTTAATAGCATTTTTAAAAGACTTAAGAACTTCAATAAGAACTGTGCATCTGTAAATAGCAATGGTAATAGTTAGTAACTAAGCAACCACTTCTCTTTAATTTGTTTTCTTTATTTATTCTATTATATATAATTAATAATTATTATATGTTGTAAAATTATATGTTGTCAAACGTTTGATTATCATTATAATTAAGATCCTTTGAGCTTTTAATATTTTAATTTCCACCGTTATCAATCTTATTGTACTCACAATTTTTATACACTTGCCTAGAACTAATATTGTTTATTTCAATTAATTTCATTGTCATTATATTATTTTATTATACCACTGTTACTATAATATGGTTAGAATTAAGATTACTCTATGAGTTTGTTTCCTCCCCTTTTTGCTGTCTTTATACAACGTTGTCTGTGTTTAGAATTAATATTACTTAATTGTCATTATATTATACTTTTTGCTTACAGTCAGGATTACTTTTTGTTCTAGTATTTAATTCATTTTATTCTTTCTTTTTGTATTTTCATCACTCTTATTTTTTTTGTTCTGATGTGACTACGAAAGCACGAGAATATTTATGTTAACCAAATGATAATTTTATTAGAATAATAACTATGTACAAAAATTTCAAACTCTTAAACAAATTATATTAATATAAATAGAAGGCATACGCAATATGTACTAAATAGCAGAAATGCTTTTAAAGAGTGTAAAAAATATACCATTAGCTGGTACAATAAAACAAATTGCTTTTTGTTCTGTATACCTTGCTCCACCAGCTACCCATCGCTTATTGGATAGTTTTGTAGATCACTCTAGTTCGATATTGGCGAAATTTGAAGGTCATGTTTGTATTATCGGTGATTTTAATCTACGCAATATTAATTGGAAACTGGTATATGATGCCGATGCAAAATATCAGGCACCTGTGCTTGGTCAAAAATTGATTGACTTCGCCCTTCTACATAATTTGAGACAGTGTAATACAATCGCAAATCAACATAATAAAACGTTAGGTCTGTTATTCACCGACACGGTTAATTGCAAAGTGTATGAATCGTTAGATGTTCTTAGTAAAACGGATCTTTATCACCCACCACTACATGTTGATATACATTATGAAAACGTTTGTCAACTGCAATATAATACAAATTTTACTAAACTTAATTTTGAAAGAGCTAATTATTCTTCCATCAATAATTATCTTTCCAAAATTGACTGGGTAGCAGAATTTTCTCAGTACAACGATTTAAATCAAACAGTTGAACATTTTTATGTCTTGATCAGACATATTATATCGAAATTTGTGCCCCAAAAAAGAATAGTCAACCAAGGTAAGTATCCACCATGGTTCAGTAACAGTTTAATCCGCAGACTTCGCGAAAAGAACAAGATTCTAAAAAGATACAGAAAGTAAAGAAATCCTTTAGATAAGATTGAGTTGAGTATTTTGTCTAAAAGGTGTCAAAAACTTGGTACTACCTGTTACAATGCATACCTTAATACCGTTGAGGATAGAATATCTATAAATACAAAAGCGTTCTGGTCTTTTGTTAAAAGTAAACGTAGTGGCTGTAGTTCATACCCAACCAGTATGACGAATGGAGATAAGATTGCAAATGATGGGCCGAGCATTTGTAATCTTTTTCTAGTCACTTTGCCGAAGTTTATACCAAGGCCACATTGTCACCAACTCATAACTTATCAGTACTCGAAGATACTGCTAATAGTAGTTCATTATTCGGTTGTCTCTATTTTCATCAAGAAACAGTGGTTCGCGCTTTGAAGTCCCTGGACGTAGATAAAGGCGCTGGACCCGACGATATTACACCCTGTTTCCTGAGAAATTGTGCCTTAAGTATTGCTTTACCTCTCTGCTTTATATACAATACATCTTTAGCAAAGGGCATATTTCCCAGGGAGTGGAAAATCGCAAAGGTAGTTCCAGTTTTTAAGTCTGGTGATAGTGATTTGATTATAAATTATAAACCGATTTCAATCCTTTCCACAATGTCTAAGGTCTTCGAAATTTTGATCTGTCCATATATTTCCGCTTATGTAAAACCATTTATCAAGGTCCATGAACATGGTTTTTTGAAATCTAGAACAACTGCCACAAATTTGGTTTCCTTTGTTGAGACTTTAACGCAAACCATTGACGCTAGCTAGGAAATAGACGTAATTTATACAGATCTCAGCAAAGCCTTTGATAAGGTGCCGCACGAAGTATTGATTAAGAAGTTGTCAATTTATAGTATTAATGGAACCTTGTTAAACTGGTTTAATTTATATCTGAATAAGCGCAAATTCTTTGTAGTAGTAAATGGTTTTAATTCTAAGGAATATGACATAGATTCGGGAGTACCACAGGGTTCAAACCTGGGTCCTATTTTGTTTAACATTTTTGTTAATGACGTTGTTGATTGCATCTTGTATTCTACTCCGTACTTGTACGTCGATGACTTGGAGTTACAACGAGTAATAAAAACATAAGTAATTAAAACAGGATTCCATATTATTACAAGAAGATATAAATAGTCTAAGTCGTTGGTGTGAACGGAATGGCATGCAACTAAATGTGGTCAAATGTGTTTATGTCAAATTTACCCGAAAACAGAAAACTTTAGACTCTGCTTATTTTATTAATGGTATAAAATTATAGGAAGCTGACCATATAAGAGATCTTGGTGTGATAGTTGACAGAAAGTTAACCTTTGCTGCCCACTTAGAGAGTATTATAAAAATAGCTTCAAACATACTTGGATTTATTATTAGAATGGGCAAGCAGTTTCGGAGGTTGCAAACAAAAAGGCTCCTGTACAACTCTTTTGTCCTGATTATTCTGGAATACTGCAGTGTAGTATGGCGACTACACTATGCATGTCACTCTTTAAGGTTGGAACGGATTCAGAAGAGATATCTTTGGCACCTAGCCTACTCAGCCAATAAATGTAAAAAAGGGTTTTCCTACAAAACCAGATTGAAACACTTTAAGTACACTACCTTGGAAAACCGTCGTATAATGCTTGATCTCGTCTTTTTGTACAAATTATTTAACAACAAAATAGATTGCCCAGGCTTACTGAGAAAATTTAGGTTCAATGTACCACACAAATTACCTAGGACTAAAATATTACCATTAGTTCCACCATTGCGCACAACACTTTTGGGCTCAAGTTCATTTGTCCCTAGAGCAAGCAGACTTCTAAACTGTTATGGTAAAAACATAGATATCCATGCTACAAGTCTGAATACGTTTCTCAAACACTTGCAAAAAACCATAGTCGAGTTATAATTAAGTAATTGTTATGTTCACTTATATACTGCGCTGTTATTGTTTCCTTTTTTCTCTTTCTTTTTCTCATTTATTGTGAACACATTAAGTCACTTATAAATATTGGATGTTACTACCCTTAATATTTTGTGCATGTGGTGTTTACCTTAAATAATTGTGCATTTGGCTGTACATGTTATTGTTAAATACTCATTGATGTATTATTGTTACAATTACTTGTAAACCTAATAAATAAAATAAAATAAAATAAATAAAAATGATACGTGGAGTTTTGTTCACTAGCGTCTTAGTAGCGTACTACTCTTCTTGCGGTATTTCGTCTTGTGATGGATCTGCAGGTGTGCTGCGCCTGATTAGACGCCCTCTTATGGTTCTGGTCGATGGAAGTATGCGGGTGGTGATGTCTGCTGGGATGTATGAGGGACCTTGGGATGGTGTAAGCCCGACGATAGTCATATTGATGCTTGTTGCATTTTGCAGCATTGCGTCTCTGCGATGGTTGTTTGGTGGTACGCTATTCTCAATGGCGCTCTCTGCGTCTTGGTTTGACTCACACCTAAGTAGATTTGCCCAAGTCGGGTCCCTTCATTGCGGGGCTGCAGACTGTCTGACCTCCATGATGTTTTATATAACAACATAATAATATATCTCTGTAATTTTCTCACCTTTGAATGATTGAAGGCAACTTGTTGGTGGGTGAGACAAA